GACTGGCTGACTTTGGTGTCTTGCACCGCAACGAGCTGTCGGGAGCCCTCACAGGACTCACTCGGGTGCGGCGGTTCCAGCAGGACGACGCTCACATATTCTGTGCTATGGAGCAGGTATGGGCTGCTGTTACCCAAAGTCAGGTATTCAAATCAGACTGACTTTTCCCTGTTTGAGACTGTATTTTTATTCCCATAAAGATAGAAGAGGAGATCAAGAGTTGTCTGCAGTTCTTGCGTACTGTGTATGATGTCTTCGGATTTTCCTTTAAACTTAACCTCTCCACTCGTCCTGAAAAGTACCTGGGAGATATTGAAGTGTGGAATCAAGCTGAAAAGGTAAACAGTAGTTTTATTAACTCCTTGCACAAAAGGAAGGCTGCAGCTGGAACTCCTGGGAGAACATAATACCTTCTGAGAGGTATGGTGGCATCTGGCGAGGAGCAGTATAATTTTAATTACTGTATTCAGTTCAGCTTGGCTGCTGTACATAGCTTACTCTCCATACAGAAGCAGCCTCCATGTCAGAATCAAATAACCTCTCTCTCCTTCTCTTTTTGTAGTTTTTTTAATAATTAAAAAAAAAAAGCGGGGGGGGGAGGAGAAAACCAATTCCAGCAGCCCCTGTCGTAAGACTTACAGCCATTTTCCAAAATGCAGGTTGCTTTCATGATTAAAGAGGTGGGGTGAGCCCCTGCCGGTGCAGTGCTGGGGAGAAGATACAGCAGGATGAGACTAGTTGTATCAGGGTGGATCACCTCTTAGTGTTACCTACAAGCTTTGAGCTAGCATAAAGATTTCTTGCATCTTAGCTAATGCTGCTTGTTTAGCCTCTTCCAAAATGAATGCATTATATTTGTTTGTTTAAATTTGGTCTGATTTTCTTTCCTGGGGCTCTTCAAAAACTTTCCTTTTGCAGAAAATGAATGAGCTGCAGCAGTAACTGAGAAGTACTGAAGGAACATCAGTAGTGTCACTATCTGTAGCATCAGGTTGACTTGATTCTGTAACATGGAAAGAGAGCAAAGGATTGCAACAAAAACTAAGTGTTTGTGTCTTTGATCTGTAGCAACTTGAAAACAGCCTCAATGACTTCGGGGAGAAGTGGGAGTTAAACCCTGGTGATGGAGCTTTCTATGGACCTAAGGTTAGTATGTTGCTAGCCCTTCGCTGGGTTAGGCTTTTAAGTGTGGATGAGGCAGACAGCAGTTAAGAACTCCTTTCTTTCTGTAATTTTTGCAGTAAGAGTGCCAAGATGACATTTGCATTTGGCATGCAAATACTGTTCTTTGCAGTATAGGGGATGAAGAGAAAAAACCTTAAAGTCTTTGTGTATTTACAAAATGAAGCTAAATGTCACTTTCCCTAGAAAGACAAGTGTTCAGCATCTATTTGCGCAGAATGTTTACCAGATCACTTCAAACAGACACCTGACCAAGACAGTCTCCAGCTAGTTAACATCCTGTTCTAAGTTAATTAAACAAATACAATTGGGATCTAAATGCTGTTAATATGCAAAGTATATTTTTCATATCTTGTTATGAGCAAGGATGAGAAAATATCATGGCAATGCTCTTGGGTTTTATTCCTGGTCTTCTTGGTAAAGACAACTTCTATTTTTCATTCATTGTCCTGCACATTTCCTTCCAATTTAACATAGTAACTGCGTTTTTCAATGTCAGTATTCCTTTTCTAAAGCATTAGTCCTCTCTAGGTTAACTGTAGGATACAGAGCAAAATTGATTCTTAAACTGACAATGTGTTACAAGCTGAGATTGTAAAAACTGGGAACAGATTTTTTTTTTATAGTTACGTAATGCCATTCTAAGATGCTGTAGGGCTGAAATTCTGTGTTTTTCTAGATGCATAGATTCTGAAGTATTTGAGATACAAATAATAGTCTTTGATACTGGTTTTCCCATAGCTTTAACATTAATTTCATTAATTAAACCCAGTTTACATATATAAACAATTTGCTGCCTTAACAGAGCTGATTGATTTAATGGAAGACATGAACAGAAGGTGGCACTCTAAGCTCTGTGTTACCACAACCATTGCTACATTAGAAATAATCCTTTGGGTGATCACTGATTCCTAAGTAAAGAAAAAACACAAACCAAAACAAAAAAATAAACCTACTGGTAAAACAAATTTTTGAAGAATGCTGCTTTTACTGGCACAGTTTTTCAGCTTTTGTGTTGATGGTGAGTTTTGGTATTTAAAAAAACAACTTGCTTTGGTTCTCATGGTCTTTTTTAAACCTGTCACTTAAGTTTGCAGTGGCTAATTGGGGCTTTCTAGAAATCTCCTTGGTATCTTTGAGCATAAGGACAGACAGCCTTACAAAATTACCTTTAAGTCTTTGTGTGATAAACCTACACTACATTTATGTCTGTGTTCAATCATTTAGTAAAGTGGTTCTGATTTCTCTCTTTGTAAGCTAATTGAATCAATTTAATTTTATGAGTTGTAGGTGAAATGTGTTATAGCAGCTAATAATTCATAATATGAAATGCGAACAGGATTTAGTAATTTCCTCAGATAATTTGAAAGAAGGCAAATATCTACAGGAAACTTTGTTAACCTTAATTAACTTAATACTTGTTCCTAATACACCCTAGCCAAAGTAAGGCGAGCAAAGATGAAGCATTTTGCACGGGTTTTAATGGAAATTAGTTAAAGTTACATTTTTAAGTTAAGCTTTACATCTACCTTTCAACTATTTGAATATTGTTTTTTTCTTATTGTGTAACTGGGTGAGTTGAAATGAAAGAAGGTTGTAAGTAACGTATTTTGACTGTAGATACTCATAGTCAGAACAAGTGTCTTTGGTTAATGTGATCCGAACTGATAAGTGGACAATTTAATAGTAGGATTTTCTTCCCATGTTTGCGCCCTGAATTTGTAGCATAAGCTACAAAATATCAAATACTGCATAATAAAGGAATATAAGTTTGCCAGTTTGAGGTTGAAGGAATCTAATTCTTGGCAAGACAAGTTCTGTTCTGATCTTGCACTTGCTCTTGCATGCTGCTGAATTCCCTCAGTGAAAGTCCCGTGAGAGTCCCATATTGAAACAAAATACATTGCCTGAGGTATTAAATGTAGTTCTCCCAAATGAATGTCTCCACTTCATCACTCTGTTTTCTGTTCTAAGATTTTTCATCAGAACCTGCAAATCATTCTTAAGGCCTCATGTAGGCTGAATTAAAAGTATATTCTCTAAAATGACATGTAGTTCCTCTGCATTGAACGAAACCTTCCATCTTAAAGCAGTGAGTTTGCTTGCAGAGGGACATGCTTGTGTCTTAAACAGTAATAAAAGTTTGTGTCTTCTTGTTTCTAAGATTGACATTCAGATTAAAGATGCCATTGGCCGCTACCACCAGTGTGCTACAATCCAGCTTGACTTCCAGCTGCCAGTCAGATTTAACCTCACCTTTGTCAGGTAAGCACTGATGGTTTTAATTGCTATATAATCTAGCTTTCCTGTCACTGACAGGCATAAGTTTACATAAAGAAAAAAACTTGAACTTAAAAAAACCCCCACCTTTCTTCACAGCCACGATGGTAATGACAAGACTAGACCAGTTATCATTCACCGTGCAATCTTGGGATCTGTGGAGAGAATGATTGCCATTCTAACTGAAAACTATGGAGGCAAATGGTAATGTAGAAAAGCAGATTCATTATTCCAGTCTGGGCTAACACTTTGTGTAGAAGAGAAATTATCCCCAAGCATGCAAGAATCAAGAGGGTTTGTTCTGCTTCCTTGCTTCAGACTAACCTTGGGGTCAGTCCTTCTGAACCATCTTGCTTGGGTATTAAGTAATTGTAGATACGGTAGACACTTCATGGTACCACTCATTCAGCTGTAGCATGCAGCTTGGCTGCCCAAGGTGTGTGTCTCTCAATTGCTTTTGCAGCTGGGCTGCCTTGTAGCAAGTCTTTTATGTAGTCCTTTACCTGCTATGTTATTAGTTAGTAATAAGCTCAACAATCCAATTATGATTTGTTGGCTGTTGTAAAACACAACCCAAATCTCCAGATCAAAACTATTTCTGTCCACGCTGCAATTCTTCTAGACACTCAGTTATTTTGGGAAGATAAATTGTAAAGAGTACAGGCCTGTCATCAGCTCTGAACCCAATCTAAGCAGCTGTATGTTGTGTAAATTTTAATCCTATCTGTTAATAGGATTTCTAATGCTAAAAAAATATTGAAAACTATATAATCTTGCTTTCTTTGTTTATTGAAGGCCACTCTGGCTGTCCCCACAGCAGGTAATGGTGATACCAGTTGGACCAACATGTGATGAATATGCTCAAAAGGTGAGGCATGGGTTTTGGGGGCTTTTTTTTCAGGATGTTGTATTCAGTTGAGATACTTTGTTATTAATTGTTAGTATAGCTATCCTAGGTAAATGTTATAAGGCTTTTCATATAACATTGTATCTCTTTTATATTGCAACAAGTAGCTGTTAGATGTGTCCTGTGTGGGAGGAACAGAATACCTAGCAGGACCAGAACCCTGGGCTTCTGCAAGGCCAACTTTGGCCTCTTCAATCAATTATTAAGAGAAGTTCCATGGGACAGGGTACCAGATGGTAAAGGGGTTCAAGATTGTTGGTCAACATCCAAGGACCACTTCTTCGAAGCTCAGGATCAGAGCGTCCCAGTGGGTAGGAAATCAAGTAAGGGAGCCAGGAGACCTGCATGGTTAAACAAGGAACTGCTGGGCAAACTCAAGTGGAAAAAGAGAACCTATGGATCGTGGAAAGAGGGGCTGGCCACTTGGGAGGAATACAGGACTGTTGTCAGAGGATGTAGGGAGGTTGCCCTTCTGCCATGTATCATAGAATCATAGAATCATAGAATCTTAGGGGCTGGAAGGGACCTCGAGAGATCATCTAGTCCAACCCCCCTGCCAGAGCAGGGTCACCTAGAGTACATCACACAGGAACTCATCCAGGTGGGTTTTGAATGTCTCCAGTGAGGGAGACTCCACAACCTCCCTGGGCAGTCTGTTCCAGTGCTCTGTCACTCTCACAGTAAAAAAATTTTTTCGGATATTCACCTTGAACCTCCTATGCTCCAATTTGCACCCATTACCCCTTGTCCTATCACTGGTCATCACTGAGAAAAGCCTAACTCCATCTCCCTGACACTCACCCCTTACATATTTTTAAACATTGATGAGGTCACCCCTCAGTCTCCTTTTCTCCAAGCTAAAGAGACCCAGCTCCCTCAGCCTTTCCTCATAAGGGAGATGTTCCACTCCCTTTATCATATTTGTAGCTCTGCACTGGACTCTTTCAAGCAGATCCCTGTCCTTCCTGAACTGAGGGGCCCAGAACTGGACACAATACTCCAGATGTGGCCTCACCAATGCAGAATAAAGTGGGAGGAGAACCTCTCTTGACCTACTAACCACACCCTTTCTAATGCACCCCTGGATGCCATTGGCCTTCTTGGCCACAAGGGCACATTGCTGGCTCATGGTCATCCTCCTGTCTACCAGGACTCCCAGGTCCCTTTCTGCTTCACTGCTCTCCAGCAGGTCAGCCCCCAACCTGTACTGGTGCATGGTGTTTCTCTTCCCCAAATGCAGAACTCTAAACTTCCCCTTGTTGAACTTCATCATGTTTCACCCCGCCCAACTCTCCAGCCTGTCTAAGTCTCTCTGAATGGCAGCACAGCCTTGTGGTGTGTCAGCCACTCCTCCCAGCTTAGTGTCATCAGCAAACTTGCTGAGGGTACATTCTATACCCTCATCCAGGTCGTTGATGAAGATGTTGAACAACGTCTCCCTTATGAGGAAAGGGTGAGGGAGCTGGGTCTCTTTAGCTTGGAGGAGACTGAGGGGCAACCTCATCAATGTTTAAAAATATGTTAAGGGCAAGTGTCAGGAGGACAGAACCAGGCTTTTTTCAGTAATGTCCAGTGATAGGATAAGGGGCAATGGGTACAAGCTGGAGCATAGAAGGTTCCACGTAAACATCAGAAAAAACTTCTTTCCTGTGAGAGTGACAGAGCCCTGGAACAGGCTGCCCAGAGAGGCTGTGGAGTCTCCTTCTCTGGAGACATTCAAAACCCACCTGGACACGTTCCTGTGTGATGTGCTCTAGGTGACCCTGCTCTGACAGGGGGGTTGGACTGGGTGATCTTTCGAGGTCCCTTCCAACCCCTAAGATTCTGTGATTCTGTGTCTTAAAGAGGACCTGACATAGATTTTGGGCATCTGAGCAACAAATGCTGATCTTTGTGAGGCTTTTATTTTTGGAAAATTAGGTTTTTTCTCTAGCTCAGGAGCTCTCATATCCTTCAGGTTTTAGTCTCCCATGCCCATATGCAGCAGTAAGAAAGGTGAAGATGAGTCTTTGCATGTTCAGTTATCAGACCTTCTCTTGAATTTCTTTTGTGCGTGCTATATATAAATAAAATAATCTGTGAAATAATAACAAGAATCTGCTAAAGTTCCACCATCCTGGTGCCTTTCACAGTATCAAGTGACTCCTCAGCCTAAAACATTAGATATTCCCATGACTAATTAGTTATTTACTGTGTATGTTCTTGCATGATAGCTGACCTATTTCCATTTCTTGATCTGGGCTCATCTCCAGTGCCTGAGCTAATGATGATGCCTCTGGTTTATGGGTCAGATACACTTGACTGGCTGAAGTCTACAAGTCCTAAGTAGCTTATTGTCATGAATATCCCAAAGTTCAAACACTTTTTCTTCTAGGTCAGGCAGCAGTTCCACAATGCTGGATTAATGGCAGATGTTGATGTAGATCCTGGGTGCACCCTGAACAAGAAGATCAGAAATGCTCAGCTTGCACAGTACAACTTTATTCTGGGTATTGTACTTATCCTGGCTGACTGTCTTTCATAGATTATATTATTTGATCTTTCTTCTGTGAGCAAGTAAGAGAGTGGTAGTGTTTCAGGTCACTTTGCTCCTGAAAGTCTCCATTGCAGAGTGCCACTCCTGCCTGAATGATCGGCCTTCCTGGTTTGTATAGCTGTCACTGGAAGGAGGTCACTGTGTCCTAAGGTATTACTGCTGCTTTAGAAAAAGCAATTTGCTGTCTTTTGATCAGCAGTGTACACACATATTAAATATATATATATATATGTAATCATAGAATGGTTAAGGTTGGAAGGGACCTTAAAGGTCATCAGGTTCCAACCTCCCTGCCATGAGCAGGGGCACCTCACACTATGCCAGGCAGCACAAAGCCTCATTATATTAAATGTATACATGAAATCTCTTGCTCTTTGTCAGTCAGATTGTGAAGTGATTTTTCCACACTTCTACATCTGCTCCCGCCTCCTCCCTTCCCCAATAATTTCTGTTCTTGATTCAAGTGTGGCAAAAGTAGTATAATTTTCACTGCAATCAGCAGTGATGCACTTCTGAACTCGCATGCACAGGAGAAGACTCCTCCACAAGAGGGTGATACAGGGACAGTTAGAAACTGACTCTGAAATTCGTGACTTGAAGCACCACGTTGGTCGTGTCACCTAAACTGAGGCTTTAGCATTTAACCTAAAACTGTCTGGGACCCATTAGAGTAGAAGGAGCCTTTAGCAAAGAAACTCTACCCTGAACACAGTTATTTTGTTCTTTAAAACTTTAAGACACAACCATATTATATGTTCCAAGACCACAAACAAATCATCAGCCTATTAGGGAAAAAAATCTCACCTAACTTATGTTCAGAAGTGGTTTTCAAAGAGTTGTTGCACTGAGTGTAGGTTGGGCACCAGAGAAATGCAATCTCCTGTAGCAACCATGAAGTATATTATATAAAATTGATATTAGTAAAGAAACATACCAAATAATCTTGGTATCTGTATCTTAATGTGTGTAAGTAAAATAGTCCTAGGATTTTCCAGTAAACTCTTGCTGTCTCTGTAAAGAAATCAAACAGCTACTGTTTATTTACAATCAAGTTGTCTTTCTGATCTTTGGCTGTGGAGTATTTTGAGTTTATTTCTCATTCTGACTCTGTGGCTCTCTTAATAAGTCAGTCAAGCCGGATTTACTAAGTTTACTCGTATTTTGCTAAGTTGCTCTTTGTAACATGCTAAAACCTATTAAATTATATGAGATCAAGTAAAGCTTGTTACAGAACTAAGTGAGGGGAGCTGGGAGGAGGGCAAATAAGGATTTGATGTGCAGGTTTTTTTAGTACGCATAAGTTTTAAGTAAGTGGGAGTGAAAAAAGAGCTTGGTAAAAAGCTCATTCCTTTGCATCTTGGTTGTTTCTAGTTGTTGGTGAAAAGGAGAAGGCGAGTGGAACAGTGAACATCCGCACCCGGGATAACAAGGTGCATGGGGAGCGTACGATCGCGGACACTGTGGAGAGGCTGCTGGAACTGAAGGGCTCCCGCTCCAGGCAAGCTGAAGAGGAATTTTAACACCATCTGCTCTACCTGGCATAAAAAAAAGATTCTTAAGTTTCCTAATTCAGTTAACCAGAGTTTTTTTGTGCTGAACCAGATTTGAAATATATTTTGCATTGGACATCTTGCTTACTTTAGCAGACATTTTTCTAACGTCAGAAATGTCTCTTTTTGTAAAAAAATCAGTTTTTCACAAACCTTGAAGTAAAATTTCTTGGCCTTTAACCAATGACAGATGAAACAAGATGAAATTAATTTCTGTGACTGCAAGGGAAAATTGAAATGTTAACCAGGTATGCCCTGTTTAGAATTAAACACACATGTATTTCATGAAAGTTAAACAGAAGACCTTGTGTTTAAGAAGCCACACAGTAATCATGATGCAGCAGCTTTTGGAGTGTCTCCTTTAGCAAGGAAGGCAATACCTTTCAGTTTTCTCTGCTGGTTACACCAGTTAAATATGTTGAACTTCTCAGTCAGATAAATGGGGAAACTGAGATCTCTTCCGTTCCACAGCAGCTGGTGCCTTTGAGAGTGTCTTGGCTCTCAGTGCTGTGGGGCTGTCTGCTGAAGAACACCAAGCTGCCAACCAAAGCCAGCTGCATCCTTTTCCAGAGGCAGTATCTGAAATGTGCTGGCTCTGAGGGTAAGGTCAGTGCAGCTGTAAAAAGGGGATAAGACTGTGTGGAAGAGGTTGGGCATAGCAGGGCCAAAAAAGCAGCTAAGAAAACCGGGATTCTTGGAAACAGGGTTTTTCTATTCTTACCCCTGAGCTGTCCTTTCAGTAAGGCTGTATATGTCACAGCAGAAACAAGAAGGTACCAAACTGATAGGATAATGATTACTTTTTAAAGACAATGTTATTTTTCGATTTAATAGTTCCAGTTCCCTTCGGTGGATGCCTGTAGTCCAGGGCATCACATATTCAATTAGCAGCCCCTCCTGTCTCAGGTGAGGGATCTTGTCAGTTGGCTTGGGGATAATTTTTTTGTTGTTTTTTTGCACATCTGCCTGAAAAGAGGCTAATGTCTGTCACTGACAAAAAATAAAATCATGGTCTGAGGTTTTTTTTGTTTGGTTCTTGTTTTTTTTATTAATCTTAACTGGCCTAAGCAGCTTCTGAAGGTGGCTTTTAAAAAGAAAGCTATTGCATTGGCCATAGGAAAGATGAGACAGATCTGAGGACAGGTTTGAACCATCCTGTTGTTTGGAAACCTCCACATCTCACTGTTTCCTTTGTTATCTGGGCAGAAATATGTTATCCGGCCTTTTCTCACCTGTCTGTCTCTTAACATATCAACACTGTTAATTCAGTCTCCCCAGCAACTTGGAACTATTTCCTCCTCCTTTGATTCATTTAGAGTAAACTTTCCACTTAAAAGCTGTGGAACAAAAATATAAAGGGAGGGGGAGATGCACGTTCCTGCACAATGAAAGCCTTGCTGCTTTCAGAATTAAGCGAGTCATTATTTTCCAACATATTGCCAACACAAGAAGGACATGTAGATCCTCAAGCAAGTCCAGAGAAGGGCCACGAAGATGATCAGAGGGCTGGAGCAGCTCTCATATGAAGACAGGCTGAGAGACTTGGGGCTGTTCAGCCTGGAGAAGAGAAGGGTCCAGCCAGATCTTATAGAACCTTCCAGTACCTGAGGGGACTACAGGAAAGCTGGGGAGGGGCTTTTTACAAGGGCTTGTAGTGAGAGAGAATGGATTAAAACTGGATAAGAGGAGGTTTAAGTTACACATTAGGAAGAAATTCTTTAGTGTGAGGGTGGTGAGACAGTGGCACAGGTTGCCCAGGGAAGTTGTGGCTTCCCCATCCCTGGAAGTGTTGAAGGCCAGGATGGATGGGGCTTAGAGCAACCTCGCTAGTGGGAGGTGTCTGCCAATACAAGGAGATTGGAACTAGGTGATCTTTAATGTTCCTTGCAACCCCAAACTATTCTGTGATTCTCTGATTTTTTTGTATTGTGCACCTGCTTTACTTCACTGTGAAGAGACTGTTGCTTAAGCAAAAGAGCAGAGTCAGATGTTGTCTCTCCCTCGGGCAGAAGAATTTCATCAAATGTTCAACTAAACCCAGAGTAGATACCAGTACTGCTTGGGAAAAGAGCTGCCAGCAGAGTTTCCCTTTGGAATCGTGACTCAAAGCACCTTTCCACCAGGCTGGAGCATTTGTTGATCTTCAGAGAGCTCAGCCCTTTGTTTTGCAGGAGTGCCAGGTGTGAGACACCAGTGCTGTAAAACACCAGCCACTGACTGCTGTGTCTGGCTCAGCAGGTGTCAGTCTTGGGCAAGTTATCCTCCTAGAGATACCTTCATTAGTTTTGAACACCTATACAACAGCATATACATGAAAAACAAATACCTGTATCAATATGTTTTTATGAACAACACCTGAGGGTACAATCCAGTACAGTATCTATCTCCAGCAGGGTGTCCCCAGAACCAAGGTGTCTGCATCAAAACGGTGACCAGTGCTGTGCTTAAGTGCCATCTGAACTGCTCTTTGCTGTTTCAGCTTCTCCAGCTTGACAGGAGCTGTGGGCATACAGAAACAAAACTGGCCTGGCCTGAGCAGCACGACCTCTTGGTTCAACCAGATGCCCTCTGAAGAGCAGGCTTTGGTCACTGCTTATTACTTTTGGTAGGACTAAGCTCTCATGAGGTACTGTGCATGCCACCTAAGGCAGGAAGATGCAAATTTGGTGTCACAGTTTGGTGGGACCACTGGTCAAGCAGGACGGAAGCCTTTGCATAATTCTTCTAAGGGTCTCAGAAGGCTGAAAGCCACCTCTCAAGGTCTGCAGAACGTGCTCTGATTACCAACACTAGGCAGGAGAAATAAAACAAATCTTGCAGCTTGGTTTTGAGTCTGTATGTCCCTAGGGAGGTTTTAATGGGAATGTTTATCACCTGATGTTTACCACAGTCTCCTCCATCCCATGGCCATTTCCTGTGAAGCAGCTGATAAATTAAAGCTCCAATTCTGCTTTACTTCACACAAGTTCTGATTGCTTGTACCTTTAAGCAGATTTCAAAGCAAGCTGCTGAAGGAGCACACAAAATGACTGTGAATGGCTAACCTTAGGATGCCTAACCTGATAGATTCTCCAAGTATATACAAGTAAGGTCTGACAGGAATATCTGTACCTGGCAGGAGTCTTTGCCAGCCTTCAGTTTTCTGTGAGATTCCACAGTTCTGCAAACTCCCCGCAAAGAGTTTTCCCTAGCCCAGAGCCACCTGGATGCTGCCACAACCCACAGTAATTCCACTAAGACTCTTGCTGTCATATCTTAGGATGGAATTCCCACAGTGACTGATCCTACTTCCTCAGTTACACCACTGGGACAATATCTGATGCAGTTTCCATTTTCAGATTCAGCGATGTCATGTGAACCCTTCTAAAAGCAACAAAGCATCAGCTTTAGGGAGAACCAAGCTGCAAGGTAACTAGTTAAGTCGTGTA